CAATAGTAAGTATTGAATTGATATATGCATTGGATCCAATTATCATTTAGAAACTGCGTTTTTTTGCATTCACGATTACACGAATATGAATAAGTAGGTGCTCACGCATCTTATATATTTCTTATGTTGATTTAAAAGCATATAAAGTCAACAATATTTTCAATTTAAAGAAGATTCAGCTGTATGAGTATTTTCCTAGTTTCGAGTACCTTATCCGAAACATTAATCGAAAATGATATATCCAAGAATATACGCACGATTCGCTGTTGCGTTCCGATTGACAGTGCTACTTCTAGGGTGGCGTATGGAGTGAGTAACAATGCCTACACAGAATACACATGGGCTGAAGGACGTCTCGTAAGGTCGGCCAGTTGGTATGTACACACCAACGAAGTACAAATATAAATTATGAAAATCAGCCATATCTCAAAGTGGTCCAAAGTGGACTTTGAATTGATCGTTCTTGTTTTGAAAGTACATAAACTACTAGTGATACTATACGCAATAGAAAAATCATGAAAACTATGCCATCTTGAACAGATCAAGTAGAGATGATGTCATTCGTCTGGTACCTTTATGAAAGATTTTTTATCGAATTCTCACAAGAAAAATCGTTCCAGCTGTGGAGTTAGTTTTCCATCATATTTAAATATCTCTAAAATATATTGTATTTCCTTTATGACTTTGATATTTACTATAATTCATGGAATCATGGCCACCTAATAATCAAAATGGCGAAAGTATAGATTAACAGGTTTTGTAAACAAAACTAAAGCTGAAATGATTTTTGTTTTCAAATGTCTCTCCAGCAATCACATAATCCACAAGAATGGCAGACAAAAATGAGTATAACATGGTGATTTTCCAAGGTGGCTCACCCCTTTAACTTTTTTGATATTGAATGTAGTAAAATGAACTTTGTGAATTATAGTTCAATTGACATTCTTTGACATTTAGCCCAACTTTCAATTTTTGAATGGGACACCCTGTTCTTCATCTAATAATCGGTTAGGGATTATCATAAAAAAATTAACGATACCAGGTTTGATAACGTTATTTCAAATGATTACAGAGAAAGAAGTTTCGAAAATGAAATTTTCGAACGCAAATATCTTCGTAATCGTTTGAAATAACCCCACCAAACCCGGTATCGATGAATTCGTTATGATAATCCCTAACCGATTTTGAAGTAAAATACAAGGTGTCTCATTTAAAAATCGAGAGTTTGGGTCATGTCAATTGAACATTTGATATAAAAAAGTTATAGGGGTCACCCGGTATAGATTTTTAATAGTTCTAGAAATATAATCCCTCTAGCATTCAGCTCCCTATAGGTAGAAAATCATGGTTGGATATAAAAACAAGATATACTTTGTTTTTGAACTTATCGTATCCGAGTAAATTATTATTTACCTACTTTCGTAAAAATGCTACTCAGATGTGCCTTTTTTCAACGCAAAACCTTTTTATTTTAATAAAAATGCACGGCACTGTCCAAAATTGATTATATTGATGGTTATTCATACCGGTCTGAACTTGGAGGGGGAGGAGGGCGTTTGAAGTGAGACACGCTATATATTTTGAAAATAAATTTACAAATTCAAACATGTGGTGAATCATATAATATAATATAACAGTCTGGAAAACTTCTGAACGCACAGAGATCGAGCAGTCTAAGCGTTCAATCTTGCTTGATAACCGTTTAAGATGCCAGTAATGCTATGGGTTCGAATTCACTTTTGTTAGTCTCACTCTCACATAAGTTTCGACTTTTAGGAAGTTGGTTTTCAACTTCAAACTAGCGAAAAATAAAGATGTATAATATGTTGGGTAAAAATAATTGTCAGATGTACATATACTTCAAATGAGGTGAATGTCCTTTCAATTGAGAGTATTTTACCTCTACTTCCGTAAAGTTATAGATATGATATCTGAAGAGAGTCAATGGTGCGAGAACTAACCAGAGATTTCAACTAGGTACTTGATGCTGATGATAGAATTAACGATGTTTTACACTTCATGGTCAAGGCACAGCTATTACCTCATGCAATTTTCAATTAACAATATTTCATAGATGTGCCTGTCATTTATTGTTACTGTCGTAGATTGGATTACAAGGGATAACCAATAGATCTACATCCTCTATATGATGATGAACAATCGGGTCTCACTTCATGCCCTTTATGCCACCCTCTTCAAATTCGAAGCCGCTCCAAATGTCAAATCAGCGCGCTTGAAATTTCACTATTAGAAACCTAAAGGAGAAATTTCATCGATAGTCAGTGACACATTGTTTGAAAAATATTTGAAAAAGAAACATATGTACAGGTAATTTTCCTTCCTTCCAGTGAATTATATGATAAATCGAGGACAGGTCAATTTCATTTTCGAGGGAGCACTTAAAATCATCAGTTTTAGCCCACTTGATTCAATCCCCTAGGCGGGGTAGATGTTACCTTTGGAATCTCAAATAGGAAGGGAGGTCAAATGGCAGATCTTATTAACGGGCGTTCAATTCTCTTTCCAACGGTACCCTCGTTTATCATTTTCTTCTGAGCAGCTTCCGGAAAATGCCTTGTCAATTAGAAAACTTTCCACCCTTAAGATCTTCCTTCCACTGGATACTATGAAAAATCGAAATGACACGTCCTTTTTGTTCATCCCCCCAGGAGGGGTAGATGTAACTCTTAGAATCTCAAATGAGATGGGAGAAGATGGGTCAAGTGGCACATCTTTTTGAAGGGCGTTCAATTCTCTTCCCAACAGTACCCTACTCTCATATTTTGATCACCAGTTCCAGAAAAATGCCGTTCTAAACTTACAAAAGTGATAAGACGATGCCTAATATTTTTCCTGTGTATAATACACTATTTTTTTTTCTATGACACAAGAAAGGACGAAAAAATATTGAGAAGATATAAGAGAAATCGGAAAATTATCGACGTGAAATTTTAAGTTTTTAACAGTAGGGACACCTGCGTTGTAGGTATCTTTATCATTCTTTTGAAGTAATCAAATATCTGATGTCACTTCTGTCAGTCTAATGATGTGATTTGATTTCAAAAAATCGCGAATTTAGTGGTTGTTTAGTAATATACGTAACCGCGAAGTCGAATGGAAGATAAAAGGACTTGCAGTTCTTTCTCTTTTACGGAACTATAGCACAACAAAAGCCATCAACAGTGTATATATTTATGTAAATGATAGAAAGTAATTTATGAAAAGTGACATTTTATAACCTGCCAACAGAGATGAAATACCAAACTTTTTTCCCGTCACAGAAAAAAGTCCTTACTTCAAGTATATTGAAATGAAGGAAAGGAAACCCTAAGAAAACTAATAGTTATTTGTTATACACGCTACGCGTCGAGTGACAACACAACCTGGAGCTAAAATCTAATATTTTTCCCGTGTATAATACACTATTTTTTTCGGTGACAGAAGGAAGAACGAATCAATATTGAGAAGATATTACATTATTTTGAAATCTGAAGAATATCGACGTGAAATTCTAAGTTTTTAACAGTAGGGACACCTGCATTGTAGTCATCTTTATCATTCATTTGAAGTAATCAAATATTTGATGAGACTTATGTCAGTCTAATTCTGTAATTTGATTTCAAAAAATTGCGAATTTAGTGGTTGTTTAGTAATATACGTAACCGCGAAGTAGAATGGAAGATAAAAGGACTTGCAGTTCTTTCTCGGAGACGGTATTATTGACTCATTTTTTGGAACTATAGCACAACAAAAGCCATCAACAGTGTATATATATGTGATATTTATCCGGGAAAAAAGTACTCCCGTCACAGAAGAAAAAGAATTAGTCATCTGATAATTCATTCTTGGTCAGAAAGAAGAATGCGTGAAATCGTTCGAAATTTGAAAGGTTTGGAAAAAGCATAAGAGCAAAAAAATAAATATATATGAATACAATTATCGACATTTACATTTTACTTCAAATTACGTCGAATTCATTTTATGAGTTGATAAGTTCCTTGTGAGAAAATATATTTCTACCAACTTTAGCTAAATGAATTTGTGAGACATTGAGCTACTACCCAGGCAACCAGATGACGTTTTAGTGACGTCTTCTTACGTCAGTCGAATGAACAAGGTAACTCAGGAGCTGACGTCGTATGACATGATAAATGACGTAAATAAGTCAAAGCACACACAGTCACATAATGATGTCATATTACTCACGTTTATTGATGTCAGTCACTCACCTCATGGTGACGTCGAAGTGAGGCCGAGATGACGTCAAAATGACGTAAAAATTTGCTGATATAACGTAAAAAAGTTTCCTCAAACACAAACAAACACAGTGTAATAAACACTATTGACCTCTGATGACATCTAATATTGATTATGCATTGTTGAGACTGCTTGGTGGTCCTTCCGGTGTCCTTGAGTACGTAGTAAGTATTTGTATAAAAAATTGTATACACGGTGAAAATTTTTGTGTAAATTTTAACTACAGCTCCATACAACTTAGTGTCAATCTAGGTCCACACCGAATTGTGTAAACATTTTATAGCAACCCTTTGAATTATATTGTTACAAAGTGCCTCAGAAGTATGAACAATGTTCGAGAAATCATGTACAATATTTAGACTGAAATTCAACAAAATTTGAGCTCTTGATGAAACTAATTGTGCATTTTTATTTTGACGAAATGATTCACTCAATTGGATTTTTTACCGTGTAGTTTGTGTCGGCGAGATATAAGCAAACCAAGAATAGTTTGATAGCAATGTAAAGGAAGAATTTAGCATCGATTCGAAGGTTGAATAACAGTTTTATTTCACAAAGCCAAAAAAAAAATCAAACACCTGCCTCCTCCCCCTATCCTCCCTACTTACGATGTTCTTCGAACATTATAGGGATTCCCTTTCGTGCGCACCAAGCGATGAAAAAAACAATTTATTGGATATTGTTGGAAGTATTGAAAATACAGTTGTGTGTTGGAAAGTGAAATAAAAAGGAAACACGACAGGATTGATACAAAATATTTATTCTTTATACTCATATTACAGGAGTTACTACTATTATTGCCTTGGCCACTAATTATTCATTTATAAAAATATCTAATCAAAAATAGCACCTCTCAGAGTAATATCTTACATCTTACGTCGAATTAGTTATCATAAATTTTATATTCTAGCAGTAGGAATATTATTAGGCAGAAAATATCCCTTTGAAACCCAACACCTAAAGAGCAGATTGAGTACTGAAAAGCAGTTGTTCAATCATAGTTCCAAAAAATCAAGCGCATTGAAATCATGAACGAACAATATTGCGAAAATAAAACAGATCACACTTTTAACACCCAGTTCTACAGTCTTTCGAATCATGAGATTGAAAAAGTGGAAAACCGGGTAGAAGCCCTTCTTAATCAGCAGAAATCTAATAAGTAAAGTGAACCCAATACACACTACATTGTTATCACAGCATTTTAGTTACTAAACATAATGTAGGCAAAAATAATTTCTAAAAACAAACATTCGAAAAATATAGGGCAGTACAATTACCGGTCGTATTATTTCACTGAATATTAGCACATTAGTAGGAATCTTCGAGTTACCTATTCGATTTACTTAAAGCTAGCTTCACTATCGTTATCAGCAAACCATCCCTTGGGGGGCGCATGACCCATATAAGTGGAACTCTCCCTGTACTCTTGCGTCACCACTTGCGACGTCACTTTACTACTAGGCCCTTGCTGGCCGCTACTCACCTGGCTAGCCTGCCATACAGCCCTTTGCTCCCCCAAACTCCTCGGCAAACTCAACGGACCAACCCTGCTGCTCCTTTGAGACTTGGGAGTTCCCTCCGGCGAGGTGAATTCGCTGGCAGTGTCGTACCTTGAGGGTGCTACCCACCTCTCCGTGAATTCGCTGGCAGATCTGGCAAGACTTGGCTGACTCAGTGACCTCGCCAAGGACGGATGACCAGTTTCTGAGTCAGCGTAGTACCTTTTGTCCGGGTAATAGCTAGACGTCTCCGAGAAAGCGTCCGGCCGACCGAAGTCGACTATCATCTCAGACATCGACCTGAGGTCGGCCTCGCTTCTGTAGCTGGACCTGGAGGTCCTCCTGGAGTGCTGGGGCAGCACGAAGGATTCTCGAGTGAGCGTTCTCACTGAGCTCTCACCATCTGAGTCGTATTCGTACAGAGTTGGCAAGCTGCTGCGGCGACTCCGGTTGTCCCAGTCGTTCCTCTTCTTGCGACTCTTGGGCTTATCAGGTGGCGATAAGATCCTTATGATGACATCCCACTTGGGAGGTTCGAATAACGTGGCATATCGGGAATCACTATGGATCACTCTCTCGTAATCCTCGCGGACTACACACTCGGTGAGAAGAGTTCGGAGTGATGACTCGGTTGTGATGATTTGTCTCCATTTCATCTTATCGGATGTAGTGAGCTGAGCATTGAATGTTTCAGCGCTCTCAATCACCGGGCCTTCCTCTTGTTCTGTGGGCTGTAAAACTTTGATAAGGACATTCCAGTTAGGAACCTCGGGGTTTTCTATAGGAATATTGAATGTCGATAGGTAACTCTGATCTTGGACGACTTCTACAGAAGAGGAATATCTATGTGGTTGTTGTCCTATGTTAGCTACGATTTCTGGTGCATTTAATGGCAGTTTATTATCAACTATGGTAGTCTGTGGAGGCAAACTTAATTTAGCACGTTCTGGTTTAGGTGTGAGTGTCATATTCGATGCAGACGAAATATCAGAGAAGTTCTCCCATTCTGGGGGCTCTGGCATTTCTACTGGGTAGTTCTTGATGGTAACGTCCCATTTCTGATCTGGCACAGGTCTAGGTCTAGTGTGATACTCAGTGACCAAACGTCTGTGTCTCTCAATATCTTCGATGGTCTTCTTTTCGGTAATTGTTCTCAAGAAAACGTCGTCAACAACATGTGAGGTTATCTCAGGCTTGTGAACTGCAGATATAGGTGGTTCCAAGGAATCAGGTTCTTCCATACTCCTGAGATATTCCTGTTTAGGAATTATGGGAGGTGGTGGAGGTGGCGTAGGCGCGATGAACATGTGGTGAGAATCATCTATCATTTCGGTCAGCGAGTGAGTATCTGTCATCTCGGTGTTAAGGGATGCTATGGACCGCGCTGGGACGACCCTCATTGGTTCCTCATGCATCTCCATCTGTCTTCTGAGGATTCTATTATAGGTTGGTGCCGGCTGTATGTGTTTCGGTGGTGGATGGAGCTCGGGAATATAAGAGAACTGAGTTCGTTCTGCTAATGAAGGCGATATAGACCTAACACTATCTTCTCGTTGCTCTGGGATAGTTGACAAGTTCCTGTCAGTCCTAGTGCTCTCTGTGTCAGACATTGAGATGCTCGGTGGCGAAGGTGGTGATTTCTTCACACGAACTTGTACATCAAATCTTGGCTGTTCTTTAACAGCCAAAGGCAGCCTTGGGACTGTAGCAGCTGTCGCCATGGCATTTTGAATTTGTTGTTCTTGAGTATGACCATATCCTTCGCTATAGAAGCTACTGCTGTCCTGAATGTAGGCTTGGTTTTCGTAGCTGCCAGCTGAGGATACTGGGAGTGATCCAGTGTCGACATCTATTTCTGAGTGGGATTCCGAAGGATAGTCTGAGGGTAGATTGTCACTCATTAAGGGTCCTTCGCTACCTGCACTGCTACCTGCAGCCATCACTGGGGGAACGTTAGCCCTAGGGATTTTCAGACCCTCGAACATGGACAAATTACCTAAAAAAAATGTTTATAGTGTTCCATATTCTCAACTATAGGTGTTCTCCTACCTAGAGAGCTTCCAGATAGTTTTGTGATTTCTGATCCACTTCCTAGAGATGAGAATGGTTGACGAACGAATGTAACTGGCCGTCTTCTTAGACAATAGTAGGAGCATCCCAAGCCAAGAAGCAACAATGACAAGAAGAGGATACCGCATATCACCAGAAGAATTTGGAATTCTTTTATTGGGGCTGCAACTGGAGCAGCTGGTGAGTCAATCCTGGAAAAAAGTGACGATAAGATTTGAAAGTTTCCAGAGGGTGTGAACTCACAGTGGTATAGGTAGAGCAGCTGGTGGTGGTACGATTGGTGGGGGATATCGGCAGACGATTGTGATAATTTCGTCTCCGTCGATTTCGAGTCCTGGGTGAAACCTCACTACGATGTTGTTGGTGAACACACGTTGAGGGTCCTGAAACATAAAAATTTAAGTAAATCTAGTTCCTAATCTGGATGGATAAGAAGTATATATCGTCCCAATCGGAAAATCACTAACTTCATGATCTGAGGCAAACTGGCAAGGTGATTTACAAGCAGACCGAAGAATAAGATGAAGTTAGGGAAGGAATCCAACAATATTTAGATGAGAAGTTCAAAGAAGATCATCAGAAGTTACCTATCTGGATAAAAATGTGATAAGTAATAAATGACCAACTGGGAAAAGGAGAATCGCCACCCTTAATGAGTGAAGTGATATAATAATGACTATACAGGGTTATTCAAATCAACTGTCCGCCATTGATAACATTATTATATAGAAGATCATCAGAAGTTACCTATCTAGATAATAATGTGGAGTTATAAATGACTTGACTGGGGGGAAGAGATTCGCCAACCTAAATGAGTGGAGAAATATAACGATGATTGAACCGGGTTATTGAAATTGAGTGTTCGCCATTGGTAACTTTGTTATTATTGATGTCACAACCTTCGTTCTACAAAATGAGAGAATCAGAAGAAAAAAATTGACCTTATTGAAGCAGGATTGAATGCCTCCTTCAACATTAAAATTGTGGAGACGACTTTGAGTTTTCTTTCTTGATCATTCCACTCCACTTTGAGTATGGACTACTACAGAAGAATAATCACCTGTTTGGTTCCGCACCCCTTCAGCGGCAACTCCAGCTTGTAGCTGAGGCCGCCCTTGCCGAACACCCTGCACGCCGAGTTCCTGTCGAACTCCGCGTACGCGATGCCGAAGAACTTCTCGTTGAACTTGAGCTCGATCTGCATGGAGCCCGCGGCGCAGTTCAGCGCCGCTTTGGTCCTGTTGAGGAAGATGACGGGGCTGAGGTCGTCCAGCCGCGTCACCTTGCCGTCGAGGGTGGCCTGGTCGGGCAGCCCGTCGCCCCGGTACTCGACGTTGTTGGCCTGGGCGGCATAGTTGGACTGGGTGGCGGCCTTGTGGGCAGAGAGGCTGAGACAGGCTGCCAAGAGCAGGTACCGAGACATCTGGAATAGGGACAGTGGACGGTGATTATTGATGCACGATTCGGTACACTTACACAAAGTTAGTTTCGAGAGAATGAGCTTCAAAGTTTGAACAACGTTCTCGATATTTTTTCATGAAGTACTAGTTCTGCAAAAATTTACTCTGGAAACCCACTAAAATATCAATATGTTATGAAATTTTCGAGTGGATACTACTACAAGTGGTTTCTTTCTAATGAATTGAAGTTGTTCTGGATCTAGACCAAAAAGCTGTTTTTACCAAATTCAGTATTTATTTGGGGATATAGTCCATATATGCTGGATAAAGCTCAATCCAATTCTACGTCAACTCATAACTAAAACCGAATGATGTATCTGGTTCATGATAGGTCTATATCCATATAATATAGATATATCAGAGTCAAAGTCGTAAACATTTTCAATTTGCTTTGATTATGTAAAAGTAACAGTGTTCTGCTTATCCATATTCTTCAAAATGACTCAACTAAGATTTCACTCTTCTAGCTGAACAAGTATTTCCTCATTGCACATTAGTTTCGAAGAATAGAATGACAGACTAACTTCCTCTAACATTCTTCTCAACATTTGTTTTGCGTTCGATTTGGTTGCAACTATCTTTGTCACTTTCTTTTTTTGCTCTAACACCCTTTGTGGTGCAGAAATATTGATACTACTGTAAAATTTTTTTTCATTTTCAGGAATATAAGGTAGCATTCCACTCAAATGATTTTTCTTAAACTCGGACATTGTTGGCATGAGGTTTACGTGTCAAACTGTTTCTGGAAACGAAAAATGTCTTGAGTTCTGGTACTTTTGATGTAGCCTAATTTAATTTCATTGAAAGGTTCTTCAGAGTGATTTCTGAATCTTATGTTCAAATGGGAAGCTTCCTGATCAACTAGATGTTTCATTTTTGTGTACGGTATCTGATTATAAGAATAGCTTCACACACAGCTGAGCACTGGTCAAAACATGAAAATCTGAACACAATATTTTATCTCTCTCCACACTACTGAAATACTATAAATTTTCATTCCACTTCCAGGACATTGGCCAACATAACACTTACGGATATTGACCAAAACTATAGGAATTTTCATTCTATTGAGGGAAATTTCCTATATTTTACGATGGAGAATGACTATTTTAATTCTTACGAACATTTTCATGTATACAACTCAATTGGTGGAAAAAGTGGAGATAGACCAATCTAATTCTCAGAAATAGGGGCAATCGACGGTGATTATTGCACGATTCAGTAGCATAGTTCGGGCTGAAATGTTTACGAGTTTATAAGAACTAGTTTTGGTCAAACGTATACAGGCTGACTGACAAAACGCCCCTAGTCATAGTGCTGCTATCAATAACTATCCGATTTTGAATAACAAAAAGCATATACTATTTGAGTAGGATCTGATCACTTTTTCTTCAGATTTCAACTTTTTTTTCAAATGACACCATATGTTTCCCTCTTCTTACTTCCACTGTTAAAATAGTTATTTATACACCAACGCAGTGAAGAATATTATTATCACCCAGGGACCAAGACTATATCCAGAGGCTTCAGCCGAGGGGTATAGAGGCCGCGAGTTTGTAAGGTAGCTAATAATATGAAAAATGAGTCGCAGGCAACAATTTTCTAATCAAGGTCACAAGTTCCACTGTACATCCTGTATTAGCTCATCTCATCATTGAAAATATCCTTGCACTTAGTGGATTGCAAACATGAAATAAAGTGAACGTATATTTTATATTGTTAAGTATGGTAGAAAATCATCACCCATCTTCGATTCCATATTCTTTCAGCAGGCATAAAAAATAAGTAATGATAAAAAATTTCGACATTTAGTATGTCTAGGTCGAACAAGGTATACAGTGGTAGGTACGTACTATAGAAAGTAGAGTGGCCTACCTCCAATCAAGGTTATTGAATTTCGATATTATTTCTGCAGTCTTATTTCGGTGTTAAAATGCATTTTTCTATACATGCGAATAATGTGAATATTTATTGAATATGCAGTGAAGTACAGGCAAATTTATTATAATATAATATATTACCCAGCAAGATAGTCCATAATAAACGGGATTTAGGTGTTGTACATATACAATGAGGTTAGCGTCCAGATATGGTTTTACGGTTGAGTAATGAGATACGGATAATTTACATATGGGTACGCTTTTATATCATTATCATGTCATCTATTTTCGCTCAACAGTAGAGATATCAGCTATATTGTACCTATAGGAGAATTTTATCTCCGTTTCTTCTCTCATCCTTTTAATTTGGTATCAATACATATACCTAGTTCGAATTGATTCGTATAGGTCATCTCGACTATTTTTTTAACTTGGTGCATTTATTTATTCATTTATTCATTCATATATTCATTCCACAAAGAGAGAGAAACTGAAAGTCATTACCACAATAGTTCATAAAATGAACGAAAATGGTAGATGACGAGAGAAAAACAACTACTTTCCTGGTTATATGCCACGCAGAACATTGATGGATTACATCCATCCGAAATCTATGCAATCATTCGTATAGACGAATAAAATCGCAAGTGTTTCCTTCCAAAAATAAATGCTGAGATGCGTTTACGTCGGATAAGGTTCGCACCAGATAGCGGTCGAGAATGCTATCAGGGACAGCCCTGCACTGATGAGAGCCAAAAGGCTTAGGAGCAGCTCAGCGTGAATCAAATATTAAATTAAACATATATTATTTTCGGAAACTAAGCTCTTATAGAGCTATTATCATGGTTCCCTAACAGTTACTCACCCGCACTATGCGCGGTTAAAAAATTTTTTCATGTTTTTTAATAAGTAATCTTTTTCTACCAATAACGGTATGTAGGTACATTCAGATTTTTAATCAATACTTAAAAACTAACATAAGCGTCGTTCCTTCTTACAGATTATCTTTTTATAAATTTGCTGATGATTTTTTTCTTATCGCTTGGAGCGCACGAAAGGGAAGCCCTATAATGTTCAAAGAACATCGTGCGTTCCTAGGGAGGATAGGGACAGGAGGTAGGTATTGGAATTTTTGTTGAACTTTTGGAGATTATATGTTGTTGGGAATACTTCCACAGGCAATGAATTCCAGAGCCTAGCCGTTCTATGGATGAAGGAGTCTTGATAAAGTGCTGTTCGACATCTTTCGAGGTTGACAACGAAAGGATGTGCTGACTGGGCTTGTCTAGTTCGTCTGATTGGTATTGATGAAGGATTAATCCTTTGAAACATGTCCTTATGCCCATGATCGTTGGTCATTATTGAATTGTTTATGTGGTGGAGTTGTGATCGTAAGTTGTTTCACCCCTCCTGATTTATATCACCTCCACTGTAAGTTATGGTTCACTTACGTTGATTTATTCAATCATTTATTCTTTTATTCCAAAAATACTTTGTTTCGAATTCTCCTAATTATCTACGGGAGTAGTTACTGGGTTATGTACCTAGTAGACGGTATAGAACTATTCCTAGCATAAATTTGCAACGGTTTACTATATTGAATTTGGTTATATGTATCTCCATGTGAAACAATTCAAGAATTAAAAAACTGATAAGGGTTTCAATGTAGGTAACTTGTCCAGATACTCAATTTCATTTCAAAATAATGTGAGCAATGAAATTAATTTTATCAATTATTGAATAACTAAAGTGCATAACACCTATACCATACCAGGGAGTGAAATCGAAAGTCATCCTACCTTATTACTCACTTCAAATTGAGGCCGATGATTTGTCCAGGCGATATACATACACCAACTTTCGTTTTCAATCATAATGCCTTCGAGTGGTCGTGGTGTTATGCAATATTTGGAGGTATAGACGCCAAATCTGCATATTCCGGTTATATAATAACGATAAAGTGGAGCTATATGTCAGTCACTGTATATAATATATAAACGACAAAATTATCAAGCATAGTAGGTCAGCTAATATTTTATTGAATATAGCATTTTTATTAGTGACGTGAGGAATAGGAATTTCGATTCATATGCGATTAATATAGTAAAGTAGAGAATCAAAGAAATATAATAACGAGGTAGATCACTGTGACCTCATGACTTGAAAGAACTTTGCTGGGACACTCTATGGTTGATTTTCAAACCCAAATTACAACAATCAAAGATCTGAATTTGGAAGCCATTCACCAATAGCTGGATAGCTCGTGCTGAACCTTTTATATAACGTTTTGTCTGTAAGGCTAGAAATTTGTATAGTGATGGATCAAAAGGTGTTAAGTGAGAAAACCATGACCTGGCAGGCCTCACCCTTGCACGTCACCATCTCCCATATATTTTAGTGTGAAAATTATTAAAAAAATAAACTTGGCGCTGTAAACTTGAAACTTCATCATGATGTTATTCAGATATTGTAGAATGAAGAAAAAAATTGACAGGCGATTTTGATGAGCAGAAGTAGGTGCTGACCAAAATTAAAGTTTGCTGACCGGACATTTCAGTTCATATTCGATAACACAGGTGAATAACTAGTTGCTAGTTGTGAAATAATTTCAGTTCACCTCCTCAGAAGGGTAGTTTACTCTAGCGGTTTTTCAAAAATCCTTGCTGAGCGAGCATTTCTGGTTCGAATTTCTGCGTCCCTAACCGACTATGGAATAATGGGATACAACACAGGGTGTCCCATTTAAAAATCAAAAGTTGAGATCGTTTCCGGTGAAACTGGAAGCGACAGGAGAAAAATTGTGTCATCAATCAATGAGAAATTTGATGTACTTGCTACCCACCAATTTTCAAAACCCTATCAGGAATAATTCAAAAGTTACAATGCTGACCGTTTCTTGTGCACTTCTCTGTATGTTCTACATGAAGATTTGGCAATGTTAAACCACTGAACTACCATCAGATGGTGCCCAGAGCGGGAGAGGAATCGAAAACAACATAAGATAGAGACGCAAGAAGAACCAACATGGCGCAACGAAATCTGCTGCCTGGGAAAAGTTATCAGGAAAACTTTTCGCGACGCCA